TTCCCAACAGGCAGAAAGATGCTTTGTCACAAGGAATGGAATGCCACTGCAGCAATCCCTGGCTGAGACATGGCCAATGGCACCCTGTTCGTTCAGGTCTTCTAGGAATGTTAGCCAAACTATATGGGTCAGGATGGCCATGCCATTGAAAACTTAGGACACTAGAGGTTCCTTTCGCCAGGTATTTTTTCTCCTAGAGTTAGTCATGTTTCTTTCTCTATTGTTTCCGCCAATTGAGGCTTACAAAGAAAACTTGGTCAAAGTATGTGACGTTCTGGCATCCTTGAAATTTCAATAGCTTCCAGTGTTCTGGAGACTGAGGCAAAATGATTGATTATATTCATTTTCTTTTCTAATCCCACTTAGGATTTCATTTAATTAGCTAGTATGCACATACAAATCAATATCCTGTAGATTTGAAGTATAAGTCGTAATTCTTGGGATACTGTGCCTTAGTTTCTTTTATTCAAAAACTCTCGTAAATTCTGTATAGGAGTTGAACTGTGGAATGAAATTGCTTGGTACAAGAATTAAGAGAGATAAAAAGACGAAGGAAAGAAAAAAATTTCAAACAGTGAGATAAGTAGAAATGAAAACCCTCTCCCCTTCTGCGGAGAAGAGGGACAAATAGAAACTGTAGAAATATGATTGATCTAAACCCTTTTTTCTTTTCTTGGCAAAATTGAGTTTGGCACCCTTTCAATTTATTTCAAGCCAGGAGTTATTTTTCCCATTTTTTCCCCTGTTTTTCCATTCGTGTTATATATGACATATTGATATGTTGAGGTCTTTTTGATATTTTGAAATTGGTTTAGAGTTTTCCTTAGGTCGTTCACCACTGATTGTAGATAAAAATCTTGATTTTGGTGTTTTCTGTAATACATATTTTTTATGCATGGATAGTGTTTGTCTCTCTCTGAGGATTAACTAGTTGTGGCTGGTTGGGGAAAACCCAAAAACTCTAGGGGGCTTGAAAATTGAAGTCACCAGGTCTGACAACCTATTCATTCTTTTTGAGTCCAAAAACATTTGAAAAAAGCATTGGAAAAAGCAGTCTTCTTGGATTTTGAATGTGAAGAAATGAAACGGACTTAAATAATTTGCCAATATCAGCGATATTGAGCTCAAAATATTGGACGTTTGATGGAAAATTCTTGCTTGTTTGATTAGAGAGGAGAAGTGTCAGATTGGTAATATTAGACTGTTTTCGATAGATTCACCACCTTTTACAGAAGAAAAGAAGCTAGAACTCGTGTCATCAGCTAGAAAAGTTTGCCAGTCGATCAGAAAAAGAGGAAATCATTAGGCCCTCCACATGTATCAAGAAAATTAGCGCTGCAGAGGGAAGGAGATGATAAAAGAAGCAAAAGAGAAAGGAATTTGATTGAGAAATGAGGAAGATTAAACAGTGGATGAAATCAGAATTCTGCCATGGAATATTGGATGGATCTACTTCTCTGTAGGTAGGAAACTAGAGAAGAAGAAGGAAGAAGAAGAAGAATTGAATGGGCTATAATTTCTAGCTTTGGGCCGCTTTGTCCAATTAAACAATTTAACAAATAGAAATGTCAAAGAAAGCTTTATGCCTGTGTGACTGCTATTCCTATGGTCTACTTAATATCCAAAAGTTTTTTTTATCATGTTTTGGTTGGTGGTTCTCAAATTACATTTTAATGAAATGCAATTTTTGCAATAGAATTTATAATAAAAATTTGTTATAAAAAAAATAGATAGATATAAGAATTATTAGAAAAAATTAGAGAGAAAGCACTATCTTAAAATAATAACATGATTTGGGTTTCGTTCTACAATATGATATTTGATATTGACCACTTTTATTGTTATATTATTATTATTATTTATAAGTTACAAAATTACTATTTCATTCATATATTTTTATTTGAAATAATAAATCCTTTTGATCTGGCGGCTAATTGAGTGTGATAATATATGTCTTTATTTTAAGATATTTTTTTAAATCCTATACAAAATAATTTTTACTGAAAAATGATATATGGTTATAATTTTAAAAAAATAAAAAGTTAGAATCAAAATTGACTTTTTATTTTAAACAAAAAGATAATGAGAAGGGAATATTGCTTCTTAATTAAAACTTCAAAATAGGTTGGAATGTCACATAATTTATGGAAAAGTTTCTTTAGTTTATTTTTAATTTATGTTAATAGAAATGTTAATTTATTTTAAGTGAGAATATCCTAAATGTTTTGTTATAAGAAAGCAAAGGGGAAAATTTATTTAATTGGTTTTAAAATGAATGGATCAATTTGGTAATTAAATCAAATTTTTAAAGACTAAATTAATAATTAATAATTTATTTTTTTTCAAAATTTAGCAAAAAGAAAAAAGTGAGAAGATGGGGACCCTAAACAAATTGGTTTAGAGAGAGCAGATCAATACTACAGGCATTTGTCATGCGGTGGCTTGTATGCTTTATTCCCAATCGCATGTTGCGCTCCCTATCTGCATTCCATTCTTTCGCCTTTTTCTTTTAAAGATATCTCATACTCTCCACTGCTACGTATATATATGCATCCTTTGCTTCTCTTTCGCATTTCCATTCGTTTCTTCCCACGCTCCATCTTCATCACCGCCTTCTCATTTCTTACTTTTCTATCATCATAATTTTTTTTTTTTTTTGACCTTTTTCTTAATAATTAATAATAATAATAATAATAAATTAATAAATTCTCCGAATCCAAATTTTTCGCATGTGAAAACATATAATTTAATGCTTGATATTATCTCGATAAAATTTAATATTTTATTCTTACATATCCTTAAAACAAATCGATTATTTATTAGAATAGTTGATTGATTGCTCGTTAAAATGTATTTATTTTTTGTAGTATATATAAATAAAAATAAACTCTAAGTATGTTAATGGATTGCCCCGGTTTAATTATTTTTTTCATGTTGAGGAAATTTTCGATTATTTTGGTGAAAGCATTTATTTAATATAATCAACAATTTATTTTAGCTGCGTTATATTTATCAAATACAAAATATTTTTTAGCACATTTAATCAGCAAAAATTAGCCAAATAGTTCAATAATTAGTAAATCTAGTTTAAACGGAGGATTAGTTTTGATTAAAAAATACAATCAGGACTTTCTTTCAAAAAAATCAATTTGGTATATATATATATATATATATATATATATAGAAAAATTTTTATTTTCTTTACTTTGAAAAGCAAAATTTTAGCAAGAAAAGTGTTTTCTCTCTGATGTTTCTATTTAGTTTGATTAATTCAAAAAAAATGCTCAAAAAAAAAGGCGATTTAAATTAAAATTCAACCTATGATCAGAAAATTATTAAAGGAAAAGAAAAGAAAAGGGCTAAAGAACAATCTCGCTTTTCCGGCCCAGGCCCTTTGGTGGGGGGACGAATGAGTGTATTACATGCCATCACTACCCAAACGGTAATTTCAAAGACGTAGTGTGGTAGCGGAACCAATTTAAAATTTGACCGTTGATAAAAAAAACAATCATGAACATTAGCCATTGGATACACGTGTTGGTGAGACTAAGGTGGGGTTCCTGGTGTATCAGGTCTAACTGTAACGTGGGACCCCTTCTTTTCGCCAAGTAGTAAAAACTAAGGGCTAACTAAATTTCAATCAAAACCTCTGATATTTACAAGATATGATTTACTTTAAGATAGAATTTGTTTGTCTCTCTTAATTATGTGATTCTGATAGAATTTGTCTGTCTCTTCTTAAATTATGTGATTTCTCTTTGTTTGACTTAATCAATGCCTTGTCAATTCATGTCTCTTACCCTATCAAATTATCATTTGAAAACTGAATAGGCATTAATTAGTTTAACTATAGTTAATCAATTGAAATTTCATCAAACCACCGTTTTAAAAATTTTAGAAAGAAATTTAACACCTCATGATTATATAATATTTGAAGTTTAAGAGAATTTAAATTTTAGATAATTTTTCACTTAAAAATTCAAGCACTTGCATTTCACATATTCATTCTTAAATAGTCTTTTATTCAGTCGCGGTCTCTTAAGATGATTGCGGAGTATCGAACTATATATGGTTGCTTAATTTTTAGCTCAATCTAATTCTAAAAAAACTTTATGCATTAATTCTTTTATATCCATTCCTCATCTAAACCGATAAAAAAAATTATATTTAAAAGAGTTTGGATAGCCGAAATCGTCATAAGAAATATTACTGAAAATTTTATCAATATAAATTACCGAATTAAAAAATTCAATTCCTAAACATACAAATTTTAATCCATACTTTTCCATATATATTCAAATGTAATTTCCCATTCTTAAATTCATTCCAATTTCGATTCATGCTCAAGTAAATTCAATATCATATACTTGTTAAGTTTTCCAAAAATTATAATGTTGAAACTGCCCTCATTATACAATTTTATGAATCACAAGCACTTTTCGTATGCATTCAAACGTCCATGCCATTATCTAGAATTGTTGTTGTAGATCATTATGTTACGATTGATGATGGAAGCAGCTTAGAGAATAAGGTTGCATGTTTATAAAACGAAGTAGTACACATGACACGTACATTAACTACATGCTTCTCTCTTTAACTGTGTTTAACGAGTTTAAATAATCTTTCTCTATGTTAATACCCCGCCTAAATCCCACTCCTAATTCTTCCTCCTAATATATATTTATCTGCTCAAAACTCTCTTTCTGGCTAAACTCTTTCTCTGGTTCAATATTCTGGTTTTGTTAGCATCACTGCTAACGTTGTATGAGCTAAGCCGTGTCAGATCTTCTCTTTTCTCTCTGTCTCCGATGGCGAGCAAACATACAAATTGCCGGCAAACGGTGAAAGCCAATCCGTTTCTACATCATCGGCTTCCCCTCAAGGCACGCAAGGCGAAGGCTTCAATGCCAACGCCTTGCAACCATCCTCCCGACCGGTTTCAGATGTTTGATGATTATCATCAGCTCCTTTTTGCACGCTCCGATCCCTCGTTTTGTCTGAGCTTCAAACCGGCTCGAGAATGAACTCAGTTTCTGAGGTATATGTTTCCATGGAAAAGAAAATCTTGTATCGAGAAGGAAAACCAGCCCCAAACATCTGTGTTTTCTTTGTACTTCTATCTGGAAGTGGCATCCTTGTGCCGGTATTATTGGAAATTAAGAAAAAGAAAGTGAGAAGTTATATGCTATAAATATGTTAATTGATCAAAATCAAGGCTCCTTTAAATACATGAAGGAATAATTGGCCAAACTAAATATACTTTTACAGACCAGAAAAGGTTTCTCTTTGGTCAATTTCCGATTTCTGGCATAATAATTATTTGCTGTTCGTTTTGTTCATAATGTTGTAATCTTTCGCAAAAAAATTAACTTTTCCTATTGTCTTTTTTTGTGTTTTCTTACTGATTTGATTAGGTTTTATTGTTGTTTAATAAAAATTTTGTCATTTCTTAAACATTTTTTTAAATAATAAAGTATTAAATCTTCAGCAACTCTCCAATTGTTCTCTAATGAAATTAGCTTACTGTGATTTATTATTGGGGAATCAGTAATTTCCATCTATCAAATTTTCTGTTGTATTCAGATTTGCAAATCTTCATTAAACAATTTCCTCCTCAAGATCTAAAAGAAGAAAAAAGAAGAAGAAATACTCCCTCATGCCCGAAATTACAGTCTCAATTTAAAGGAGATTGGGAAACAGGATTTTTCGAATGAGAGCATTTTTGTATTGCAAATCTTCATTAAACATTTCCTCCTCAAGATCTAAAAAGAAGAAAAAGAAAAGAAATACTCCCTCCATCCCGAAATTACAGTCCAATTAAGGAGATTGGGAAAAGATTTTTGAATGAAGCATTTTTTGTTAGTTTACTAATCTTATCCTTAAGTGTTTAAGTTATTTGAAGGTATTGTCAGCAAAATAACCTTTTAACGTGTTGACTTTTTACTAAAATAAGTGGACAATTAATACAGGGCATCCCAAATTAGTAATTTGGACTATTATTTTCAGATAACGAGTGATATTTTTGATACGAGGAATTGGCAATCATAAATTCTTAATTATCTTTATTATTAGTTGCACTTTTCTGATTTGTGAAAAAAGGAAGAAGAATTTGTTCAAGGAATGAAAATGTTAAGACCCTAGCATTCTATGCTGCTACTTCTATTGATCTGAACTCTGTTTGTACCTTTTAATTGAATGTAAAATTACTAGTAATTAGGTACAAGTTGTGGAATTTTTAAGGGATTGATCACTTCCTTTTTACTGTTTTCGTTACTCAAAGATAGTCTTATTGTCTATTATTATGAATTTCTTTTTCCTCATATTTGTTACTGATTGTGTTCTACTTTCCTCCTGTTTTGAAATATCTGCTTTATTGTGTTTAGTTTGCTACTTCAATTATGGCCCTAACTGTGTTTCCACAAATAAATAAATGAAGTCCAGTGATCAACGGGAGCTTGAGTAGCACTAGTTACATATTTTGAAGTGTTAAAAGAAACAAAAACCTAGTTGTCTCATGCTTTCAGTTCTTTTGATGTTAATCACGTAATGAAACAACCATGGGATCCATTATATATATGGTGTCATATGTTTGCAGATAAAGATAGGGAACTGGGAGAAGCCCTTGCAGAAATCAAGTCCTTGAAAAATTCAGAACGCTTGAAAGAGAAGGCAGTTGAAGAGGTAATATATATAAATATCAAGCCTAAAATTTTTCGAGGTCATCAGTAGCTGCAAAAGGTTTTGTTAAAGAGGCTTAGGGCATATTCAGATGCCTCACAGTTTGTCATACAGTTTTTGGTTGAGAATTGGAAATCAATATATTTGAACCCCACAATTTTATTTATAATGTATTATTAACTTCAAATTGCTTTTGAATGTGATATCTTATGCCCTTTATAGTTGAGGGACTGTGTCTACTGTGAAAGTTGGTTGTTTGACCTGGTGCAAGTTATAAAATTTCTAGATACAAGAAACTCTATAGATAGCCTAATGATGTTGAGTGCATAATTCACTATTTAGGTGGAAGGTTAGATATTCAAGAATGTAATTTTTCTTTAGTATTATGATTCGTTTTGGCTGAGATAGAATTAAGGTTACAGTTGTTGAAATTAAATCCTAGTGGTAAATACTTAAAACGAGTTTTTATTCCGAGTATTTTGTCTCTTGAACCAGTGGCTACTGTATAGATTATTGTTTCTAGAAGAAAGTTTTTATAGTGGGTGACAGTGTTTTCTCATGGAACTTTGTTACCTTTTCACTCCAATTAACATCTTTTGAGAATGACAATGTAATAAAAGTTGCTTTTGATATGTTGGTTCTTTGTTATTGTAAGATTTAAGAGTTGAATAAGGCTTTGTTGTTGAAAAGAACATAGCAACCTTTCGTACTTTTGAATGGAAAACTCAATGGTGAATTACTTGCTTGATGTTAACAAGAGTTGTCAATCCTTTTCTCAGGCAGTCAAAATTTTGTAAACATGTAAGTGGAATTTTTTTCTTGGATATAAACCTTTTCATAGAACTGTCTACCATAAAAAATGAGATATTTGTGGATCAAGTAGAAGTTTTCATTTAGCAATTTAAAAGATCTCAATGAGCTTAGCAACTAATACTGAACTGTTAGTTTCATCAATACATATATCATTATTTGTCGATATTCCTTTCCTTCTCACAGTATCACTTGTGAAAAGGTTACTGATGCAATCTCTAACAATTTTTAATCTCAAATATTTAGGAGTTTGAAGTGTTGAAAAATATTTAATTTTATCCACATGATAAGGGTTCTCACTTGCTCAGTTTCACTGTGTTTATTATAATCTCAGCTTACAGATGAACTAAACAAATTGGATGAAAAGCAGAAAGCTTCTGAAGCTCTCCTTGAAAGCAAGGTAATGCTTGAAGTTATTGCCTTTATCAGACTAGTGAGTGAGTTTGCGTTTGTAACCTAGCTTTGGAAGCCATTTCTGCTCAAAATACGGAGTGTTTTATGCTTGCAGAACCTTGAGATTAAGAAAATAAATGACGAGAAAAAATCAGCTTTGGCTGCGCAATTTGCTGCAGAGGCCACACTTCGAAGAGTACATGCAGCTCAGAAAGATGATGACATGCCTCCAATTGAAGCCATTATCACACCGCTGGAGGCTGAACTAAAGTTGGCTAGGCTCGAGGTACAATTAGAACTTTTCCCCATAGGTTTCACTACTCCCTTTATCCATGGGATAGTGTTTTTACTGACACAACATGCATGCTAATCCTTTGACATTCTGTTTCCTGTGAAATTGTTTAACATATTAGATTTCAAAGCTGGCTTTCTAGCTGTTTTCACAAATTTTATATCATGTAGTCAAGGTGAAGATTAATGAGGCTCAACACATGCATGATATTTTGACCTGTTTAGGCAGCAAAATTGCAAGATGACAACAGAGCACTTGATCGGCTCACCAAATCTAAGGAGGCTGCTCTAGTTGAGGCTGAGAAAACTGTTCAAATGGCTCTGGCAAAAGCATCCTTAGTTGATGATCTGCAAAACAAAAACCAAGAGCTAATGAAGCAAATTGAAATATGCCAGGTTTGTCTTTTTTAAATTATTCTGCTGGCCATGCATGGAAATTCATTGGCAGCTATCAATGAGTGGCATACACTGGTCTATTTGACTTGCCCTTGTACATATGCCAGGAAGAGAATAAAATCCTTGACAAAATGCATCGCCAAAAGGTTTCTGAGGTTGAAAAGCTTACCCAAACTGTTCGTGAGCTTGAGGAGGCTGTCTTAGCTGGAGGGGCAGCTGCTAATGCTGTGCGGGATTACCAGAGAAAAGTGCAAGAAATGAATGTAATGAGTGCAAAGTTTTGGAACTTCTTTTCTTCCAATAGAAGCTGCTATTCTGAGTTTATTGCTGGTGCTCCAAATTGCTTCTGACTTCTATCTTTGCACAGGAGGAGAGAAAAATTCTGGAACGTGAAGTAGCCCGGGCAAAGGTTAGTGCAAACAGAGTTGCTACTGTAGTTGCAAATGAGTGGAAAGATGGCAATGACAAAGTTATGCCTGTCAAGCAATGGCTTGAAGAAAGAAGATTTTTTCAGGTAACTTAAGACATCAGTGATTTTTTCCTCCTAAGTTCTCCAATATATCTTGCGTTAATATAGTATTGCGAGTATCATTGTGGAAATTAGTTTCAAATCAGTTGTTCTGTTATATTTCAATAGGATCATCAATAAATGACAGGCTGTGATCTAAAAATTTTGCTAGATTGCTTTCATGGCACATGGCAGGGCGAAAGACCAATCACTTATTGTGGCTCTGGTGTTGTCCTAATATCTGTTGCTGAGTGTAAGAATGAAAGAGAACTGAGAAAGCATTTCCCATAATTGACATAATAAGAGATATTGGCGCTGCCTAGTATAAAAGCAACAAATCATGCGGGACTTCATTCAATTTACGTATTCGATTTTCTGTTCTCTTGTAGGGGGAAATGCAACAGCTTAAAGATAAATTGGCAGTTGCTGAGCGCACTGCAAAGGCAGAAGCTCAGTTGAAAGTGAGTACCCATTCAAGTAATCCACTTTCTTCATTTTCTTTAATTTTCACTTCTAAACATCATATTGATTTGTTGATTGCTTAGGAAAGATACCAATTACGGTTCAAGGTCTTGGAGGAAAGGCTTAAAGCATCTAATGGTAATTCACGTGGCCCATCTGAAGTAAGAAGCACATGCAATGGGCCCTCACGGCGCCAGTCTCTTGGTGGAGCTGAGAGTGTTTCTAGGTCATCATCCAATGGCTATTTGTTAAGGAAAGCATCAAATCTACAAGTTGGCTCTTACCAATCCAACAGTGCTGCCACATTATTAAGACATGCAGAGGCGTCATCAAGTTCATTTGAAGAGGGTAGTGGATCACTGGACTCAGATAAGTCTATTCCAGAAAAGATTAATCTAGATAATGCTGTCACCATTGCTAGCAATCAGACTCAAAGCAGTCAGACTGTTGTCAAATGTGAGAAGCATTTGAATGGGATGCCAATGGAAAAGTCAAAATCTGAGCACGAGGATTATGTTTCAGGAATTTTGTATGATATTTTACAGAAAGAGGTGATAACCTTGAGAAAAGCTTGCCATGAAAAGGATCAAAGCCTCAATGACAAGGATGATGCCATTGAGGTTAGAAACTAAGCTCAATTGTTTGCACTGCCTTTATTTCTTAAAAGTGATGGGCTTTGCTTTTTCAAATGTGGAATAAAACAGATGTTGGCAAAGAAGGTTGATACATTAAGCAAAGCAATGGAAGTTGAGGCAAAAAAGATGCGAAGGGAAGCTGCTGCCAGGGAAAAGGAAGTTGCTGCTATGCGGGTTAGCAAGGAGCATGATCATAGGACACGGCGCAGTAGTGCTCCCAGGGCTGCTCATTTACTTTCTGCAAGGTATTATTATTATTATTCTTGTTATGAATGGGAGCTATCCACCAAAACACAAAATTAAGCTGCACATTTGAAAGAGAACTGTTAATATCCACTAAGATGACGGATTTCTTGTATAGGTTGGTCCTCAGATATTGTTTTGGATTTATGTTAGCTCTTTTTATTCTTGCTCGTCTCTATACAATGCAGAGAGAGGGAGAGTTAGTTGGTTTGAAGTTAGATACCTGTCAACTCCTGAACTTAGTATGTGAAATAACACGTTAAGGTTAATATTACCCGTTTTTACTAGTTAGAATATGTTCTAGACTTGAAGAATACTTATGAGAAGAAGCATTTGACATGTTATACTAGTGGTTTCAAATTTAAATATTGTCATTTGATTTGTGAAAGTTAAGGAACAACAACAATGTTTCAAAGTATCATCACATTAGGTTAGTATTTAACTTGTGCTTTTGTTGAATGATTGTAAATTATATTGGGTTAATGTTTATTTCCTTTGTAGGATTTATTAGCTAAAAGCATGGAAGTGCCAAAGTGAGAGATTGAAATCATTTTTTGTCATAATATATTTCTAGCATAGAGGATTTGCATGTCTATACATGCGAATACATATCACATGTAGAATATTCCGGTGAATTTATCTAGAATGACTATGCAGTCACTTTCTGTGATATTGCTAGTAATAAATTTTGGTATATTTCAGGAATCCAAGAAATTCATAGGTAATTGATGCAATTGCAACAATGACCGGACATGGGAATCTTTGATGACTTAGCCATGCTGCTAAATTTGTATGATTGTCGGATATCTAATCTTCCTATCTTCAGCTGCAATTGAATTGTCTCAGCCAGGTAGCCTATTTGTAAAGAACTGACTCTAGGTTTCCAACAGAATCATCATGTGGTGTATATCTTTTGTATCAAAATTATTGAAATTGAGAATCATAAAGATCAAGCTTGTCGCGAAACTAATGTACAAGGTGTGTTATTAATTATTTTTAAAGTTATAGAGGAAACTTGAAAAAAAAAAAATGTATAGTTCTACTGGAGAAGCTATGTAACTTATTATTGCTTTCAGGTTTTACGTTTTGGTAACAAGTGAATGTAATTTTCAGGCGATAGCCCTTTCTGAAGATGGAATTACATAGAACAAAATGAATGGATTTCTGTTACTTTTGGAATTAATGTTGCTTCATGTTTTACAAAACACAAATGGCAGAGTGTTATTTTATTTTATTTTAGATTTGTTTCATATAAATGACATTATTTGTTAAATAAATTAATAGGTAAATTTTAAATTAATGTATTTGAAGAAAATATGTTTTTTAGTACTATGTTGGTATTTTTGATAATTGGAATTTGGTGATAACCTCCGGTTGAAATAAAAATCAAAATTTAGTGACTAAAAAATAATAAAATAATATTATGTGACGTCATAGAATTAAGTGTGAAGTTAAACTATCGTTAATATAATTTACCCGACACGCACAAGACTAATTTAAAAAAGAAAATTGGTAGAGAATAGAGAATTATGAGATACAATTGTATACAAAATGGGCCGGGCCCAAATTCCTGATTGGGCTGAAATAAGGCCACAAATTGAAGCCCTAATTTCGATGGAGGGAAAAAAAAAGAAATGCAGTTTTATCCATCTTTTCATTTTGTGTAGCTTCAGAGGGAGTCTGTGAAAACCCCAAATTGCAGATGGCTCTCCTTCTAAAGCCTCGTAATATTCCTCTTCTTCTTCTTCGTGTAATAATGGCCTCTCGATGCTCTCCTTCTTCTCCTACTTTTATGCGTAACTCTTTTTGTTCTCTCTCCTCAACCTCTCGCCCCTTGCTTTCCTCCAAGCACAGGTTTTCCCTCTACATTCTCTCTTTTTTCTTTTTGGTGATATATATTTTTTTGAACTGTTTGTTTCTCGGGAAAATGAGTTAAAAAGAAGGAAGGAAAGGAAACTATTTTTTTCGTAGAAACAGTTAAGAGATAGCTGAACAATGTTCAGCTTTACCATATTATATATTTGAAACGATATGAGAGCTTAAATACATAACATATGGATTTTTCTGGTTATTTTCTTGAGTGGTTAGATTCTTGTGCATGGGTTCAAAATTTTTTTGAAGTATAAATTCAAATACACTCTAATTCTTCAAAAAAAAAAAAAAAAATCTGAGAGCTTTTAAATACATAACATATTGGATTTTTTCTGGTTATTTTCTTGAGTGGTTAGATTCTGTGCATGGGTTTTTCAAAATTTTTTTGAAGTATAAATTCAATTACACTCTAATTCTTTCAAAAAAAAAAAAAAAAATCTGATTCAAATTCAAAATTTGGAATTCGTTTTTGTTTGCTACGTGGCCTCTATAAAAAAAAAAAAAAAAAAATCTGATCAAATTCAAAATTTGGAATTCGTTTTGTTTGCTACGTGGCCTCTATAACTAAAATGTAACATTTTTTTTTTTTATCACGGTGAGTTTAATGCATTTCTTTTTGGGTATATATATAATTTCAGGGTGAGTTTTCCATTGAAGTCGGTTTCAAGTCAATTTTTAGTTCAAAATGCAGTTTCACCTAAGGCTTTCATGTCTTCAAGCACTACAACTGAATCTGTTCAAGAAAGCACAAGCTCCAAGGCTTATGGTTCTGATCAAATTCAGGTAGATTTCTGGAATGCATATATATCTCGTAAGCTTCAGAAATTTTGGTTTACATTATAACACCTGCCATTCTAGCGGCGCTAATGCTGTCCTGATATATTTACAAATTGTCTTACGAGTATACAAATGAGCTACACAAGCCTAATTAGCTGAAGTTCAGTAGTCCAAGCTTTATTGATTTATTTGACTAGTCTTTTATAGGTGCTTGAGCTGGCTTATCAATCTTTATGAACAAGTTGAATTGAGCTTTTATGAAGAGTCCAGTTTATTTGAATTTTGATAATGCCTTTCCCTGCAGTGCTTGTAACTGGAAGTGGTTGTGTTGTATCCAATGACTTTCAGATAGGCGCTTATGATTATTGGATGTGATTCCTTTGTTTTGTAACTGATTATTTTTGGAAGGTGGATTTAACTTTACACCTCTCTTTCTCTATAATTATTGTTAATTGAAATGTAGGTGCTGAAAGGCCTAGAACCTGTTAGAAAAAGACCGGGGATGTACATTGGTAGTACTGGGCCTCGTGGTTTGCACCATTTGGTAATTTCTTTTGCTACTGGAAGATGCTAGTCTCCATTCTAAGCTTATTTATAACTGAGCTGAAAAACTAAAGGTTTCTGTTGATTGAATGTTTTTTTCTCTCAGGTTTATGAGATATTGGATAATGCAATTGATGAGGCCCAAGCGGGATATGCTTCAAAAGTAGATGTTGTTTTGCATTCTGACAACTCAGTTAGCATCACTGACAATGGGCGTGGGGTATGTGCTGTGGATTGTATTTCTTTGATGAGTCTTTGTTTACTTGTATTATTACATGGTTCTTTGTTTTTATCTTCATACAGATTCCCACTGACTTGCATCCAGTGACAAAGAAATCTGCTTTGGAGACTGTGCTGACGGTAATATTACATACTGATTAGTTTCCTCTGAAGTTAAGTCTGTGGTGGTTGGCATGGTGTCTGCTGTATGCTATTTAATTTTTAAGGACTTAGATTTAGTCATTCAAAATTTTATGGACACTGGATTAAATGTTCATGTACATGAATAATAATTGTGGAAAACCATTGCATAATGAATATCTTTTTGGACAAGGATACTTATTTATACGGAGTTTATTTTGACTTTGCACTCATGTTGTAGGTCTTACATGCTGGTGGAAAATTTGGTGGTTCTAACAGTGGATATACTGTCTCTGGTGGATTACATGGTGTAGGTTTGTCAGTTGTTAATGCGTTGTCTGAGGTATGCATTATATTCCATCTGAACTTCATATCTAACCACCCATTTCCCACAATCATGAGAATTATAACGTTTTACTTCATTATTCTAATTAACTTGTGCTTTAGGAGTCTTCCTGAGTCTAAAGTCAAATATTGATGTCAGTTTCCTTCTTCTGGTTCCCACTACTTATTAATTTCCACTGCCTTATTCTATAGCTTGAATCCTGCAATAGGTTGACTATTTGAAAAGAAACGAAAGGTAAAGATAGGATGTTTTTTAAGAATTGGAAAAGAAAAATAAAGCTTATGATTTTACCATGTTTGTATTGAATTATCATTTTGATGTCTAATGATTGAATTATATTGAATTAGACATGATTTCAAATAGCGAGTCACATTGTAATGAACTGATATATTCACAATTGGTAACGGATATTAAGTTTTCATTTCTTTTTTTCAAGTTCCTTCATATTTTTTGTCTTGCTTTGTCTTTGTTCCTTTGCATTTTGTGTTACTTGATTTTGTATTGTTTCACAGGGATTAGAAGTTACTGTTTGGCGTAATGGAATGGAATACAAACAAAGATATTCTCGCGGGAACCCTGTGACAATTCTAACATGTTATCCACTCCCTGCTGAATCAAGGGATCGTCAAGGGACATGCATCAGATTTTGGCCTGACAAAGAAGGTTTTCCTTGATTTTTTAAGCCTCGTATTGTTCTAGGTTGTTTATTTATACTTGTTCCCTGATTCCTACTGATAACCTATGGTTGTGATTTATATATTTTCTTTGTTGACTTTCAAATATTTCTGCAGTCTTCACTACTATAATTCAGTTTGACTACAACACAATAGGTGGAAGGGTTAGAGAGCTTGCTTTTCTGAATCCAAAGGTAAAGCCAGTGTTTCTTATTATGCGAATGTGATCCACTCATCTTTTATTCACTACCTTTAATTGGAACTGGACTATTTTATTTGCTACTTTTAATCAGAAATGACGAGCTATTTGTTTCTTTTATAACCAATTGGGTCAGATTGGGGTTCGAACTCCAAAGCCCTGGAGCAACATAGTTATCTGTTTTATTGTATGGTTGATAAGTTTGTTAATTCAAAGCTAATTGTTTCATTTTATTATATGTTTCTTCTTGCAGCTTACTATCACTCTTAAAAAAGAAGATAATGATCCAGAGAAGAATCAATATGATGAATATTACTTTGCAGGAGGATTGGTTGAGTATGTGAAGTGGCTTAATACTGATAAGGTTTTATTTTTTTGGCAAATCCTCCTTTCTATTATTGTAATTCCTGCATTCTTGTTTGTACTAGTTTCCCATTCAGCGAGCTAGCAACTTTTTGTCCTACAATATATTGATCCTGGTGGATGAAAAATATTCCTTGTTTTAAGATTGTTTCTGACAATGAAAGGATAGAATTTTGAATGACAGGTGTCATGATTTTAGTCTTGCAGTTTGGTTTTACGGCTAAGTTTATGCATGTTCTAGACTAATATGGGTTGAGACATATAGTGTTGAATCTGAATGATAGCTCACAGGCAGAGGAGAGCCAGTCTTTTTGAAGGTTGGATTTCCATATCATCAGAAGTGATGAAACTTATTATATGACTAAACTAACTGCACTTTTTTATATGCCTTTGTTTTAACTTTGGAAATATATGGTAGATAAAATTGCTATTAAATCGTGGATTTTATGATTAGACCTGGTTATGGTGATACAGTATAAACCAATGTATTTGTATGTGCTTGTCCAGGCACAGTTTTTATCTTTTGTAATTCTTGGTTATTAGATTTCCATGGTGGTTCATATTTATTTTTTACATCTTATCTATTCACTGATCCATTCTAGTACATTCCCATTATTGTGTTAGCATATTGACCTATTGAACAAGATTATGTTCTGAATTAAAAACCTTTATTTTTAGTATTTTTAAAAATGAAACATATGTAGGTAGATACATTGATTGTCTGTGTGACACATGAACTGTATGGCATTTGTAATTTTGTAATTTTTAATTCATATTACGAAAAATATGACAACCGGTTCATCTGTTTTTTGATGGAAAATATTTGGTTAAAAGCTTATTCATGGAACTTCAAACTCATATCTTATGAATTCACAAAATTCTTTTTTATCTTCTTTTTGAATTTTTGAAAATTTGAAATATGGCCTTAAGGAGTTAAGGTTGGATTTGAATAGATGATATACAATTTTAATTTTGTTTATATCTTACTGTTCAATTATGCATGTGAACTCTAAAGATTAACCAGTTTCATTTTCATTGACTGGGATAATTTATTATAAAATTTGATTCATTGATCTGTTTGGAGCAAAGTCCAGTCAATTGCATCTGTAGTTCCATGAGTATCAGATGACAATTGATGCACTTGGATTTCTAAATTTATTTTGATATTATGAATGGTAATTGCTCTGCCTCTTAAATTAAAAAGCTTGAATTTACAAGTCCCGATTGGGTGGGTGGCTTAATCCTGTTCCACCTTCCCAAAAAAAAAAAAAAAGAATTGTTTTTTTTTTCTTTTTCTCGTTCCATTATGTCATTTTTCTGGATTCCAGTCTATGTGTTGTACTGAATGGTGACTTGCTATTGTTTGGTCTAGAAACCGCTTCATGATGTTGTGGGATTTAGTAAAGAAATGGATGGGATCACAATCGATATGGCTCTCCAATGGTAAACTTTTTTTCATTAGTTTATGTTGCAACTTCTATTTAATTTAATGAGTGCACTTTTATGTCCTAAAATTTTATGTGAGATTAATTTTCGTCTGATGTCAACAGTCATTCACTCAATGACCCATGTGATTTAAGTTTGTCCATTCATTCTTAACTAGGTGTTCTGATGCGTACTCAGATACAATACTGGGATATGCTAATAGCATACGTACTATTGATGGTGGCACACATATAGATGGTTTCAAGGCTTCACTAACTAGAACTCTTAATAATCTTGGAAAGAAGTCAAAGATCATTAAGGTGTGTGCATGTTTCATTTACTTTCTTCTTTGCAAAGCTTGGGATTTTTTGGAAGAACTCCTTAGGAAGTCATCCAACTTTGTCTGAATTTCTAATGAAGCCCTTATAGTGTGTGTGTGTGTGTGTGTGTGTGTGTGTGTGTGTGTGTTTTGTTTATCATTTGAGCTCTTGAACCTTTGAAACACAAACACCTTCACCCCTCTCTGGTTACAGCAGTATAGATAGATATCAAAGTTGATCTATGTACATTGCATATGGACAAATTTCATATGGATTTGTAAATATTTACAGCAGGATATGAGTGCTAGCGACATGCACTTGCAATAAAGAAATTTGGGATTCTTATGGTTTGGATGGTGGCGGACTACTCTCTATTCAAAGTTCTCTATTTTCTATATAAACTAATAGTTTTTGTTGAGATGTGAACTTCTAATACACATGGCATGCTGTCAGTTATCAAATGCTTCTGTGAAATTTCACTGCAGGTCCGTTTGGATGTTTATTCATTTGAAATCATTTGAGTATTTGGATTTGATATCATGTATATTTTTTATGAGTTTACATTTGAAACTCAAATCCAAATGCACATTGATTTAAAATGATCATCTACCAAAATCCACCATTAGAAAACTTCAGTTTGTTAAATAATCCTCCCAAAAAGGGATCATATGGGATACGTTAAGGATTTCAAGGTTTCAATTGATAAAAGAAAAAATTTGAAACTCAATTTAAAAATAAAATGTGAGTCTTCCTGTGCTTGTATTCATGCGTAAACAGAATTGAATGCCACACACCTTATCTTCTTAGCCTGCTTAATCTTATTCTTGAATGGTTGTGATATGCTTCCACTTCTTCCTGCTACATAGCTACCTCTATCTCTGTCTCTTTATTCCCTTTGAATCTTTCACTCTCCTGCCTTTGCAAAATACTGATGTAATTTGTATACTATCACTAGAAAATGAAAAGAACAAGGCTGAAATTTTTGTATATTATCCGAAGTATTGGCTCTGGTGAGAGTTTTTGTATAGAATAATATACTTGTGATTGATTTCAATCACGATTCAAGAGGGTTGTTATGGGTAGAGTGCAGATTAAAGCATGTATAGCTCATTATTTTTAATCATCATTGTATGCTTTCAGGAAAAGGATATTAATCTAAGTGGTGAACATGTGAGGGAGGGATTAACATGCATTATATCTGTTAAAGTTCCAAGTCCAGAGTTTGAAGGACAAACAAAGGTACTGAACTTTTTTCTTGTGTTACTAATTCTTTGGCAATGTTGGTCTTTTCATTTCTTTTCTTCATTGTTAATATCGTACATCTCTATCTTTCTTTCTACAACTGAAAGACAAGGTTGGGAAATCCAGAGGTGCGAAAAGTGGTTGACCAATCTGTACAAGAGTATCTTACCGAGTATTTGGAGTTGCACCCAGATGTTCTTGATTCGATCCTTTCAAAATCTCTGAATGCTCTTAAGGTACCCTTCTAAATATTCTTTTTCGTCATTTTCTGCTATCATTAACCATCATTTCCCTTAATCAATTTATTGCAGTGTCTCTGACATGTAGGCTACCTATTAGTTTTAAACCTAAACCCTATCTTTGTTATTGTTGTTTCCCTGTTTAGGCAGCTTTGGCAGCAAAGAAGGCAAGGGAATTGGTGAGACAAAAGAGTGTTTTGAGAACATCGTCTCTTCCAGGAAAACTAGCTGATTGCTCATCAACAAATCCTGAAGAATCTGGTTGCTATAATTTTTCATTTTTATAATCTGAAAGTTCTCTGACCTTATAGGATCTTGAGATGTTCAAAAGCATTATTATTAATTTTCATTCTTTGATTCTTGCAGAAATTTTTATAGTTGAAGGAGATTCAGCTGGTGGAAGTGCCAAACAAGGCCGCGATAGGCGTTTTCAGGTTTTGGGAAGAAATGCTAACATTTAATTCTCAAGCTATTGCATATACATTTAAGCATTTAAACAACATATGGATAGTTTGTTCTTTTCTGCTGAACTGCTTATGTTAAAACCAGTTAAGACAATTGCAGAGGCCAATTTTTTTTTTTCTTGTTTTCAAGAAAACTTCCACAGAAATGGAAAATTCATTACCAGATGAAAAATGAAATCTAACTAGAAAATTTTCTTAAGTGTTTGTACATATTCTGAACATCGACAGAATATGGAGAACATATGCCAAATTTTCACCTGTCTAATATTTTTAGTTTTAGAACTTTACTGGGTAAAAGTGCATTCTGTCTTTTTCTCTTTGAAAATGTAAACTAAAAATAAAAGGTGCTATTTGAAGTCAACTTTTCTGGAAGCAAACATACCCTTAATGCTGTTGGAACACTTTCTTGCATGATATCTATGCGACTCTGTTGTTATACTCTTGATCTTGAAATTTTAGGCTAGCCTTTGACTAGATAAATGCTACCTTTCAATTTTGTGAATTTTCTAGGCCTCTTTTGCATTATTGGTGTGTTAAACTGTGGTTGCACCAATGGATATGTTGTAACTAATTGCATAATATATTCTGGAACCCAAGTTGAGTTTATGATAGAAGTAATGTTTGTAAATTCTTATCTGTGATAATAAGCTTGGTCTTCCTGTCCAGTGTACCATCTTATATAAAATGTAGAGTTAAGTGGATGTCCATCTATTATTGATTATTGCACTGTGTTTGGGCAGGCTATTCTCCCTTTAAGGGGTAAAATTTTGAATATAGAAAGAAAAGATGAAGCTGCAATGTACAAGAATGAAGAGATTCAAAATCTTATTCTTGGCCTTGGACTTGGAGTAAAGGTTTTCAATACTTTCTCTCTGTTTCATAGTCTCTTCTTGACTCCTATAGTCCTAACCTCATGCCACCTCCCTAAATGATGATAACAATTCCTGTGTAACTTTTATCTGCTTGCTTAGTTCATGTGTGATATATTCTTTGTTACAGGGAGAGGACTTTAAAAAGGAGGCTCTACGGTATCATAAAATCATCATCTTAACTGATGCTGATGTGGATGGTGCTCACATCCGAACTCTTTTACTGACATTTTTCTTTAGATATCAGGTATTTAATGGAGAAAATTGTGAAAAAAAAGATCTTGAAGTAGAGAATTGACTCTCAAATGCATTATAAAGTTTGAATGGAAATTATGATGATGGGGTTCTTCTTTCTTGTAGAGAGCTTTATTTGATGAAGGTTGCATCTACGTCGGTGTTCCTCCTCTTTACAAGGTTTTCTGTGGCCCTGTGATGAATTTGGCCAATTTATCTTTCAATAATAATGGTTATAGTTTATTTCTTTTCTTTTCATTTCGTTTATTTATTTGTCTCTCTGAAATGACCAGGTTGAAAGGGGAAAACAAATTTACTATTGCTATGATGAAACCGAACTTCAAAAGCTTAGGAACTCATTCCCTCAGAATGCTTCATACAACATTCAAAGGTTTAAAGGTAAGACAAATCTTAATTTCAGGCTTGTGCTGGTGAATTTTCCTAGGAAAAAGTTCGAGTATCCATTAGGCATGAGCATAATTGGTTTGGTTGAAATTGAGAAAAACCAAATAACTGAAATTTTTTGAAGAGAAACTAACTGAACTGAACTGTGGGAAGAACTTGACCAAAATTGAAATAATTCAGAACAGTTCAGTTGCTAACATCATGGATTTGAATTGGTCCCATAGGGTGCAAAATTGTATCAGATTGTTTGATTCTATCAACTATGCTCTCAACTAGAACATTGGCGATTTGTCTGATTCATGGATGGATATTTTGTTATCATGCCAGTTTCATTAATATTATTATCAACTCCAAACTAAATAAGCAATTCTTTTATGAGAATGGGAATTATTAACTGTTTTAGGATGCTCATTTTGCTCTCTATGAAATTCTTTTCTTATTACCAAGAGGAACACAATTCTATTTATTGTTTTGTTTGCCCTCTGCATTCAATAGTGGGAACTTCCCATCTTAATATAAAATCCATTTCTCCGAAGATTGAATTTATGTGAGTTTATTCCAAATGGAATAGTGCCTTATGCGCTACTTGTTCAGGAAAAATATTTGATGCAGTCTATTATGCCAGTGTTCATGACTTTTTGGTTTGTGATTAAAATTTGTGTATTCTGTACTTTTTTCAAAAATACAGGCTTGGGAGAAATGATGCCTTCACAACTGTGGGAAACGACTATGGATCCAGAGCAAAGGCTGCTCAAGCAATTGGTTCTTGAGGATGCAGCAGAGGCAAATGTTGTATTTTCATCACTTATGGGTGCTCGGGTAAGTTACATCGAGTTTCTTGCTTGCTTTCTAGCTTATGATATTCACTATCATCCAGAGTGCATCTATGAATGTATTATGGCTTATGGTCATGGCAACAAGCAATATTTCTAGCAAATCATTGCAATTATTCTTACAGATTGCTTGCTGGTTTGCAGTACACATCATTTCGATGACATTTTATGTATATGCTTCTTAGGTTAACTTCTATCTTATGCTTTTTGTTTTAGGTGGATGTCCGCAAGGAGCTTATCCAGAATTCTGCACGCATGGTCGACATTGATCAACTGGACATTTGATAGCTCCATGTTTTTTAGTGAAAGTGGTCATTCCTTGTACCATCACACAACATTAGCTTGTTTAGGGTTTACATTGCTGACTTGTAAAGCTTAGGTGTTAAAATTTTGCTTGTCTCTGATTCTTCGGATGGATGCTTTTATGTGCACATCCAAGCATGTATTGGTTAGGGTATTGGAAGGGAGGAATTTGGAAGTGTTAGGTCTTGTACAAATGTTATAGTAATTCACATGTATGAGTTTCATATGGACGAGTTTATGTGCACTAAGAGCAAGTTAGGGATATTCTCAGGTTAGCTTATATAAGCAACGAGGCCAAGTCTTCTTTTCCTCTTGTATCAATTTGGTATTTTTAGAAATATTATTTCTGAAATACTCTCCTAAGGAATTGAACCTGGTCAATGAGGAAGAAGGTATACTTGTATCCTTTATTGGAATTGAATCAATTAAATCTGTTTAATCAACGAGCATTATCATTATTCAGATACACAAGTGTGGGAATTCAAATGGAAATAGACAACATCAATCACTGGGATTTTATAGTGGTTCAGCCTGTTTACCTAAAGGCACTCCTCACAGTTGAGAATTGAGATCATCTTTTTGAATGTTATTCCCAACTTTCAAAACCCACAAGCTTCAGGTTGCTTTTCAAGCTTTCAGAATGGGAACCTTCCTAATTTCAGTTTTACAGGCTCTATTATGAGGTGTCCTTTTCTTTTCTTTGTTTTTTAAGACTCAATGAGTAGAAATAACACTGCAAGCTATTCAACAGGAGTAGTTCTCCCTTTAACTCATTGAATTGATAAAAATCTTGATGGAGAGAATTTGAACTCAGATCTCTCACTTTTTATATAAGTGAAAAAGCTTAAACCATGTATGATTAACATATCATAAAATATCATTTATTTCACAAATTGCTTTAAAACTTTTTTACTACTTTGTATTATTTGTTTCTTCCAACCTCCAAGTGCAAATATCCTAATAGATATATACAATTTTAATTCTTCAATAAATCCTTCTTTCTTGAAAGTTGCCTTCAAAATAACTTGCAATACTTTTTTTTCACTTCAAACATGGGATGAGAAGTTTTATAAACCTATAGTAAAGATATCCCAAGCATAATAATTGAATCAATTAAGGTTTTGCTATTTATCAAAATGGTAATATTAATTGGAACCCAATGCTAATATTCAAATTCATTTCTTAGATTCTATATTTTTATTTTTATTTACGCTAATAGTATGTTGGTGGAGATGATAAATGGTCTCGATCCCTTAACAAAATCCCTATATTAGAATTTAAAAGAAAAAACTCTAAATTAAAGAAATTTTATATGCTTATATTATTATGACATCATTATAGATATGTAATATGTTTTAAAAAATTCGAACAGATTTAAAAAAAATAAAATAGACTTAATTTATATGCTTAGATTATTGTGACATTGGAAATGACAGTTCGATGAAATGTCTAAACTGGAAGCGCGCGAGAGAATATCCAATACAAATATTCGAATCCAACAAACAAAATTCGCTGAAGCTTTTGAGCTCTGAGAATGAAAGAATGCGTCAATGGCCCGATACGAATTTCTCTCTACGAGATTCAAACCCGGCATCAGAAATTAAACACACTCATTTTTAAGGTCAGTTGAAAGTTTTCTTTAGTTTTTGCAACAAGGCAAGTCGAGAGATGAAATAACATTTACCTATCTCTGTTTGATGAAACGTCTAAAACAGAAATTTGAGTCTGAGGTTTTACTTTCCATGTTTGAATTGGAAAGCTTTATTCCAAAGGGCTCTGGCTTTGCCTTTGTCCCATTGCTTAAGCTTTTTGGTTGTCTTCAACCAAAATTCCATTTTGTTTAAAGTCTGATAAAGCTATGACGCTTGACATGTTCATGTGTTATAATTCCCTACAGTGTTTACATTTCAATAGTGTATATAATGTAAGATGTTATTGTAACTCTCTCAGAAGATTATTTAGAGAGGGTTATTGTTCTTTGACATCTCGAATCATTGTGTTTATATTGAATATGGACCTACGAAAGAAAGCATGTCGTCGAGTTTAATTTTCCTTGTATTGAATACGTGGCGACTTTCAAACCTGTACCCGTAGGTCCAGGTTTACTCTTAGATGTATATTACAAACTTGGAAATATATCAACTAGAAAAGTCCAAAAAATAAAGTTGCTAAAATGTTAGAAGCAGAATTCTAAAGAATGATGGTATATTTGTTAGAAAAATGTTTAATTTCATTTACAGCAACTGTGGCCCTCTTTGAGGACTGCCTTATTAAAGAATGTAAAAATTTCTCAGGTTTTGTATAAATGTTTCTCCCACTAAGGAGCCATCCTTAATAAATACAGCAGGATAACCAATTGGAGCTTCTACCCAAGCTTCAGAACCTTGTTCTGTGAATAACTTTCCCGACCAGATGTGTTTCCAGGTACAACTTTCACCTTTTGGAAAATAGGCTTTGACATTTTGCTTTCCCTTATCCAGTACAGGCACCACTAGTATCTCAGTACCAACTAAGAACTGCTGGTAACTCAAACTGTGTACATGACTATCATCTGGGTAGTGGATAAATAGGTGGCGGCAAACGGGGAGGCCTCTCTGGGATGCCTCCTGTTGTGAAAGAGCAGATAGAGATTTGTTAGATTCCCTGTTAGGTGTTGACATGAATTGAAGCAAAATTCATATGCATTAATCTCAGGTATTACCTTTACTAGTTGGACTCTGTAGAAATACCAAGCTTTGAATATTTTAGCACAGCGTGCAAAATGAGAGAGAGTTTTCTGGTTTGAGTAGAATTGGCTGTTGCAAGATGGCTTGTTTCCCTGATTGGAGAATACAATTGGAATTGAAAAACTTATGAGATCATACATATTAGTTTCCCTTTTTGTAGCATTCATGATAAAGTGATATGTGGAAGTAAGACAGATGTCCTATTATCATTGTTAAACTTTGCTTTACTTAATGCAATGCAATTCAGTAATTTCACTGCGTTGCAGACAGTTCAGCTTCAGTACCATCATAGCCATGCATCAAATTACAAAGATAAAAAATGGGGGAGGATTTTATGTAATTAGCAGTAGTTATGTGATTGAAACAATATATATTTCTGTTATTTTCAAATTGATGATTGTGATGCATGATTATTGATTACAGTTGTCAGGTGTTTCAACTTACTTCATGGGTCCGGAAAACAGTTGTGAAAGCATTTAGTTCCATCCACCGCATGAGCAACTCTTCACTCCTGTGATACTTGATAAAAGGTAAGTTTACTGCACAGTAGCCTCCAATGTCACTGTGATTAAGAGCATATCCACAAAGTCCACTACTTAGTAGGCCTACAACTGCACTCTTTATCCCATCATTGGTCTGCCAACTAACCATTTGGTCTCCTTCCCAAAACAGCATTCCCCATTTGGGACTGTCCCTGAAACCAGCCCTATTGAAGAAGACCAAAGCTTCTTCTGGGTCCTCTCTCTCCTTACCTACACGGTTTTCTTTCCATTCTTCCACAAACTCTCGGTTTATTTGGGCCCACAGCTCTGGGTATCTGTTGTGGGCACATATAGGGTCTTCACCTGAAATAGTCTATCCAAAGTCAACTATACAAGATTATATTATTGCACATTATCCAAGCACATACAAAGTCACATATACACAAAAGGAAGAAGAGAATGAGATAGGAAAGAAGGGGAAAAAGAAGCTTCATATATTTCTTCTCTTGCGCGGAAATATTTTTTAGCAGTAAAAAATCAAGCAAATGCAGGTTTAGGAGTGTTGGCTAACAAAGAATTTTGCTAAACATTTGCCGGAAAATGCTTCTATCTTTTCTCTCTTCTAACATGGTAAAGCAATAATTTGTGAATTGTGAATGGAAGGAGAAACAGGAAAATAATCTCCCATCAATTAAATATACTAAAATTTACCAGAGAAGTAAAATGAATTTTATTTAGGACTTGCAAGATGATTAAAACACTTGTTATGATAAGGCTAGTGTTAACCTAGGCCACTTCCTCCTTATAAGTACTCCATAAAAAAATGAGAATTTTTACCTGAATAAAGGGTGGCATCTACTGGTAGACCTTCACCAAAATCAGCCATCCACCCTCTGACCCCATCATCAACCATTTCCTGTAAAACTTGCTTGAACCATCTTGCAGTATCAGGGTGGGTCAAATCCAACATTCCTACATCAAAAGCTGTATTTGGAACCATATATGGTTCTCCATGCTTGTCCTTCACTAAGATGTCCAACTTTTTTGCCTCCTCAAAAAGATTTCTCCTTCGGTTTGGTTTCTCATCTGTCTGTGAAAGCAAACAGAGGTTTAAAACTAAAGCCTCAAACCCTCCATGTATATCTAATCTTAATCAAAACACGTTTAGATGGAAGTTGTAGACTTGCAATAACTATTTTACTGTAAAAAAAATGCAATGATGACAATCTTCCTCTTCTTCTTCTTTAATAAAGCAATGATAACACTCTTCTAAAGTAATAATATATGGCACACATGAACTAGGAAAAAGAATGGTACCGGAGCTAGACAGGGATTGCAGTATGTCATCACTTTAATATGCTGACCACCGAGATCTTTAACTAGTTGCTTCCACCCCTTGTACCTTGTCGTATCCACTTCCCAGTTCCACCAAAGTTGTGATCCAATCAATGTCTCTCTTTGTCCTACCCAATCCTGCACAAGAATTGCTACAAGGTGAGAACTTCTGTATAATGACACCAATTTTGTGAAATGCTAAATAAGCACTGAACAAAAGATTTAGATTTTAAACTATTTCTGACGAGTGAATGCAGTAGAACCAATCAACTAAAGATTGTAGATATGAGGTAGGTTATAATTATGAAATAACTTTAAGCAAATAATTTATTGGAATTTGAAATGGATATTGTGGATTTCAGTGAACATGAATTTGCTTTTGACTAGGTACACAAGGAGTACCTGCAACCAAAATGCTGAGATGGGAACCTTATAAGCCTTCAGTTCATCCCAAACACGTCGTACAGCTTCTGTTCCACCCTGCATTCCAACAACAGCTCCAGATATAATCCAGTTAGGAAGCTCTGGAGGCCTGCCGATAGTCTCTGTTAAGTGTTCAATAAGCTCAGAAGGTGAGTTGCCATGCAATATTCTTCCTTCAGCTGAACTGCTATGTATCTGCAAGCTCCATTATACAGAAAACAGGAAACTGCAAGTTTAAACTCAAATGAGCTTCTATTTTGTACGTCTAAAAAGAAAATTTCTGTTGCTCTTTTCAAATATATAAATATATATAGAACCTAATTTCTTATCTATGTATATTTGTATATTCGGAACGTGTTGTGAATAGTTGAGTTTATTAGACCAAGGTGATTTAGACAGAAAAATTCTATATCGTACTAGTGATGTGTTGCTCTTCAATGTCCTATTTCTGAAATTCTTGCTTCTGCCACCACGAACATGGTTTTTCTGCATTACATCTGTTCTAAAACATAATTTAATGTAAAGAGTAGAAGCTCTAAAAGCTATACCTGTATGCGAACTCTATCATGTCTTGTCAAATCAAACACGGAGTAAGCATAGCCATCAAGATAAAGAGACCTCATCTTTGATGTCATGTAGAATGGTGAAGGAGCATAAGTTGTAGTCCAATTACCCCCGGCTCTGCAACATAGGAACGAAAGCTTTTACATTACTGTAATGCCTAAATTTACCATAGCGCAAAAGTTCAAAGAAAATCTACCTGTAGCTAACCAAGTTGGCTGCAAATGTAATAGGTTGATCTCCTCTTCCAATTCCTTGTTCTTGAACAAAAATAGGTACCCTTTTGCCTTTGAAGTCCATATGAGAGAATTGCTCTCCAAAACCATAGAACCTTTCATCGAGTTCACTTGAATAGCTAAGGCAGATTCTGTTGAATGCTGTCAACTCTGCAACCTTTATTTCTGTTTCCTCTGATGAGGATGAGGAAACTGCAGTGAACCCTCTGGGCTTTGTAAACAATCTAAACCATCGGAGTTTTCTTTTCTGAAATCTTCGCAGCTTCAACCTTAACCGTTGATATTTCCCAAAACGAGTTGGTGAAGCTCTTGATCGGATTTCAAAAAAGTTGGGTTCTCCAACTCTCACTTGAAATCCAATCTGGTTAATGTTCTTTTGGTTAAACAGAACCCAATACTTTGCAGAAGTGGAAGGTCCTCTCGTCTCAAAGTCTATTTCTTTATAAATTCCAGATTGTTGAATCATTTTCTTCTTCCTTTTGCTAAATATTTTACCTGTTATCAACAAAACAGGCAATTGGGTATCCTTCAAATCCTCAGTTGAATCAAGATCACTAGCTTGGTTATAATCTAGCTCATTGGTCACTCTAATATCTTCAATTGTTTGATGATCACACACGAAATGAACGTCTCCATCTTCTATAGCAAAGGATCCTCTACTTTCTTCAACCTCTGTCTCTGCCATAGCTGCAGAGACAAAGGCTTGTCCAGGAATGGTGGACCAGAGGACTTTTGTTGGTTGAGACTTATGAGAAAGTGAAATATACCCACCATTTTTGGTGCTCCAAAGAAGCTGGAAATCTCTTCCAACTGGGAAGATTTGGTGGGAGGGAACTGTTTGGGAATTAAAGAAGAGGCTTCCTTGAATGAAAGGGAGAGATCTTGGTGTCGATGGGAAAGGGTTGTTTAAGTGCTTGTGATGCTTTTTGGTGATTTTGAGGGTTGCCATGTTGGTGTTAGAACTTAAAAGAAGAATATGATTTGTCTATTACATACGCTGTTTATTGATTTAGAAAACGTGTCATATGCAAGTTTTTTGTGAACCTTCTTTTCTGGAAAGTTCTTTGCTAAAGAAATATACGACACAGGGCAGCAAAAAAAATATATATATATAAGAAAATTTGTGATTCCTTTTGTTTATCCAAAAGTCATGAATATATATATATAGGCATATAAGCTGTTACAGGTAAAAATCTACAGTTTTCTTTCTTAGTGAAGATTTCTATTCGTATAAGATAAAGGGTAGAAGTGTCCTTAAATAGGTTCCATAGCATCTGGAAACTGGAAAGGAGAATGCCATAATGGTCAACAAACATGGGTCGGCCTTATTTATTACGTTTTCCGCTGATTTTATTGCGGTTGAGCCACTTTTTTTTTCTTTTTCTATTTGTTATTTTCTGCCGTTTTCTAATTTCTTTTTTCTTTCTTTCGCCTTTCCCTTCAGTCTCTCGTTTGTTTTTATTTTCTTTTGATATACATTTATATGATCTTTTCTATGCATTTTCTCTTCTGTACAAAGCTTAAAAGTCCATTGTAAGTGGCCATCATATTTGAACCTATACGCAAATTTGGAATTTGGCACCTTTTATTAGTTATACTTTTAAATCTGAAATCGTTGAAGTTGGAGAGTTAAGGACAAAATTGATATAATTAATAAAAGGGAATTACTTGTTTTGACATTATTAGGGTTTTTGGGATCTAAAGAATAAGTTTCCATCATGTAATACAGAAGGAACGTTGATTCATTTTTCAGATAATTGTGTACAAGTTTTAATTTTGTTTTCTTTGAATGAGGATTACGTGATAATGTATAGGGACGCTATTCCGTTTGCATTCACTTATCAGAATAGCGAGTGGCCTTCTGCTGATTCAACGCTTCCCTTCGTTCGAGTTTTGTTTTTGTCAGGCAAAATATTGCAATTTTCATTTTTGGAATTGCAAGGCTGTTTCAAATTAGAATCCAGATGGTAATTACTAATTGGGTAAAAATTTTTAATAATTGATGACTTTAAATTGTAAATTTTTAATTTTACAGATAAAATTTATTTAAAAATACAGTTTAATTTCATTCATCCAACTGCATTTATAACTGAATTTGATTAATGTAATTAATTTCCACTTATTCAGTAGCTATTACTAGAATCATTTTGTAATATGCTACTAAATGATTTTTCCAACATTAAATAATCGTATTTGAAGACGGAAAATACCACTGTCTTAACATAAAAATATGTGTGCAAACTTAAAAAAAGAAAAAAAAAAAGCAGAAAGTATTGAAAAATACTCATAAATTTCTGCTTTTTTTTCTTCCATTTTAGGAATTAGTTATTTCTTTTTGACAAAAATTGTTTTATATGGTTACTGGACAAATTCAATGATGGTGTACTTACGAAAGTTGAAGGCCTTTATTTGTTATTTTCTTTGTTTTTGTATGCATGTAATAAGCAGCCTTCGTATCATTAGAACATGTGCTCCTGTCAGTTTGAATCTTCCCTACATATTGGAATCCTTCATCATAAAGAATAGACCCATATTTTATGGATAGATTGTTTGGTTACTCGCACATAGTCTTGTTCATGGGCACCATCCATAATCATGTCAACAAGCACTCTTTAAGAACTTGAAGATAATAAAATTTTTGAGTAAGAGGGTTAAAGAGATGAGAATATATGAATATATTTGTCAATAATTATTTTACTAATTTCGAGGAATTTATTTTAAAAAATTCTATCTATTTTTATATAATTTAATTTAATTTAATTATGTAGCATTGAATTTAAAGACTTAAAATAATTTTTTTATATGTTCCAAATATAAAAAATTCTATTGAAATTCATATAAAAATGCAATATTTTTTATAATAAAATATAAATGCAACCCGTGAATAAAAAATTCGTCTTAATACATAAATATGGTCATGCCCACAATGTATCAAGGACAAAAATATCAAATATAAAACACAACAAATTAACTTCTTGCACTTATGAAATTGAAAATTTTCCAAACTTAACAAGCAATAATGTAAATATTCTTATGAAATTTTTGCCTCAAATATTAAATCAAAATATATTAACGTTTCTCTTCAGTTATCCTTTGATCTCCATTTTTATTTAAATTTATCTTTATTTTCTTAATATAATAAATTTTAGATCTTTCTTTGTTTGCATAATGTAAAACTTACCATATAATGAGTTTTAGATAATTGTTGTTTGTTAAATTATTTTAAAATATAATAGAATTTTAACATGAGTGAAACGTATCAGTTCTCCAATCATAGCCTCTCGCAGTTTGTCTAAAACAATATCATTGTTGACGCCGGCCCAAATCAAGTCCAATAATGGAAGGCCTTATAGGCCCAATAATGAAGCAATTAGGCCGACTTCAAGAACTGCTAAAGTCCAATATTAACACTTAGAATGAATCAATAACACACGCGACTTCCAATTTCAGTAAAGAGGCATTTCGAGATTTAAACATTGCATGAGCACAAGAAACAGATACGAGACTGACTTTCAAATTTAACATCCTTACGAAGATAACCGGCTTTAAATATCTAATAGAATCACCAATAACAGATTCACCTACTCATAATGAAGGATAGTTCGCATTAATATTAAATCCAAAATCTTCAGTCAAGCAAATCTGAGACTGCAGTCTTCCTAAATGCATCCACCTTAGCCAATTGGGCAACCAAGTTCTTGCTTGGGAATATATTGTCTGCCTTCATCCTCTCCCTAATCCCATAAGCTGGAGCCTTGGCATTTATGTAAGTTTGTACTAGTGCTTGGAACTGCCTAAGCCGAGCCACATAACCTGCTTGTCTCATCCTGTAAAACATTTTTTCCGCATTATGTATATCACCCCTTTTTGAGTATTGATCCATAATAGCTATGTAAGAACTGAACATTGGCTTCAGCTTGTTCTGCTCGGCAGCCTTTTGCAGCATCGAGTCAGCTTTTTCTACTTCACCTGCTTCAACATAAAGCTTAACAAGTGCATCCCAAGTCAATGGGCCAATCCGGCATCCACTGTCTCCCATTTGCGTGACCAGATCTTTCCCCTTAGCTAGCATCTTGTGGTTTGCATAAACCTTCAAAAGTGCAGCATAGTGTTTTGAAGATAGCTTCTTCCAAGTCGTCCGCATCTTATTAAAAACTGCCTCAGCTTCATCAACTCTCTTCAGCTTTCCCCAAGCTTCAATAGCAGCCATGCACTCCTCGAGCCGAGGATTTGACTCACAGACCTCCCAAATTCTCCCCACTTCATCCGCTTTCCCAAGTGCAGCATAAAGAGGAAGCAAACACCGAGCAGCCCAACGGTTTGCGTTTAAGTTTCCTCCTTCCATCTCTTTCAAAATAGCCTCAGCTTTTTCTTTGAGGCCACCGGAAACATAGTGCTTGGCCAGGATTGCTTGAGTGGCGATGTCAGGTTCAATCCCTTCAGCTTTCATGGTCTCTAAAATTTGATCCATCCCTGTTAAGTCATTGGATTGGCCTTTGGTATCTATTAAGAGTTTGTAAGTGAAGAGTGTAGGCTTGATATTTTCTTTCTCCATAAATAACAACACATCAGCTATCTTCTTCTTGTCAAGTCTCTTATAGAGGAGAAGCAGCTGGTTGCATGCAAATGAAGTGATTGGGAATTCAAGGTCCTTCATTTTGTTGAAAACTTCCTCAGCTTTCCTCGCATCACCTTTGGAAACACAGTTGGCCAACAAGGTTCGGTAGATTACTTCCCCTCTGAAGGATTTTGGGATCTTCTCAATATAGCTCTGTGCTGTTTGAAGGCCACGTAACTTTGCAATCAAATCAACGCGAGAAGCATAATCTCTCTCAGTAAAATCAAGTTGGTGTTTAGCCTCCAACCACTCTGAAAGCTGCAAAAGCAAGAGAAAATAACAGAAAAATATGAACAAGTGCAAAGCTACTCCACAAAAAACTTGGAATGCCAGAAAGGACAAGGATGTACTGTCACACTCATGCTACTACCAGTTAAATGGTAAATCTTGCATGTAAATTCAGGACAAATTAACAGCAAGCTATCTGTATAATTCTACCAAAAAAATTGATGCATGAATCAGGGAACTCAAGTAAATAAAATTAGAAACTCCTTTGTAATGCATCTCACTTCATAACAGGTTCAGAGTAAACTAGTGATAAATCAATATGAAATCAAGAATGAAAGTGTTTCATTCTCAAGGGATGATGCAATTTAAAGCCTGAAAAAGTGAGGACACCAAGAATTTCACCAACTTAAAATGGATATGTAAAACCTAAGCCAGAATGAAGCAAATACTAGTGAATAAGAACCAAGAACAGACTCACAGATACTTGAAATATATCAAAAAAGAGAGATAGCATTATTAATTTATAACAGTTCATCATCCAGGTGAAAATGGAAAATGAAATACCGCATAAAAGTTTCCAAAAAACTAAGGTTCGGGTACAGATGTCGAACTCAAATGAGAAGACAAAAAAAAAAAAGACAATTTCCAAAAAAAATAAAAATAAAAGGAGTTCTCATAATAATGTATTTGAATATCAATTTATAAATTCAAACAAGACAACAAAAACACAACATTAAAAACAGAAGGGCAAGGCCACCTTATTGAAGCAGATTCAGAAAGCAATTCAAAGTACAGCATTCAAAAGAGTCGGACCTTTTTAGCACCAAAAACATTTTTACAAATTACAATACAGATATGTAGTCCGCAATTTTAGATCAGTAAGGTGCGACATAAATCTGAGGCCCAAGCATTCACCAATTGGTCCAGTTCGACAATCACCCAGTATTCCCTTCTCATACAACCTTGAATCATATAATTTCCAGAAAACGTTCCCTAGGTAAATGGTAGGGGGAAGACATATATAACTCAACCAAGTTATAGCCAGATTATAATTCTCTAACCAAGACATTACTTTATTGAACATTTGTATCTTTTAGCCTAAAGAATGGTTTGTTCATCCATTAAGACAAGCATAGTTTTAAAAATTCAAAAACAATTAATAGTAAGAAAACCTAACAAGAGACTCGTATAATTTAAGTTGCTGTGTATAATGCACGTAACAGCCACCACGAATTACAAGATATGCAGGTGATTGTATTTACCAAATCCTGAAAATTTCATGAAATAGAAAAAAAATGTGAATTTCTTCCTTGGACACGATACAGATAATAAAGAAACTTCAAATGGTAATTATATTAATCATTTACTATATGATCAGCAGTTGAGATTTGAATAATTTGTCAGCTATGCAGGGATGAATCAACTTATAGTTTTATGGGTCTTAAAATCTAGTTTTGTTTTATGTTATACCAATGGGGTCCTAATCAGTGTAGTAGAGCAATAATTAAGGGGTCAATGTTTAGGAAGTCCAAGATCTCATACATATATAGAGCCCCAAGTAAAGGTTTAGACTTTAGAGTTATTCAAGTCTTATAAATACCCACGCTTGACAGCATTATTATTCAGGATTTTCAGTCAACAAACTTCCAGTGACTGTCGCTTCTTGACTCTAACCCAAACGTGATGCCTATGGAATTCTGGTGTTATGTTATGCCTAAGGAACTCTTAGGTGTAAAGCTGTGTAAACAACCCTGCATGTAGATTTCAGCCACTCAAATCCTGTTCTTTTCACCTCTAAATTGCTTCAGTTCTTCAGACTTCAAATTTAGATTTGATCTTTGTTTAACTCATAAAAAGTCAATTTCTAGTGTAGCATTCCTCTTCCTAAGAAACCCAACCAAAAAACAAGATGTCTAGTCAATGTCAAAGAATCATACAGTGCAATACTGGTAAAGTGGACACGTATGCCCAAGAAGGGAGGATACAAGGCAGATCAAACTATTTGACATGTAATTCAGATCAATTATTAGAGTGGATCAGTAACAGTAAGTAATACACTACAAAAGACAATTTAAATGTATGTCTGAGCACAAAAAGAGTTGCATGAACAAAAAAAATCATGGGAATAAGTTAATTGGATATTTGGTAGAGACCCTCAAAAAAAAAAAAAAAAAAAAAAAAAAAAAAAAGACGTAGAGACAGATACTTCCTACACATCGCGAGATCACACCATTTTAAGCCAATTAAGGCCGTCAAATCCATAGATATCTTGCGGGTCTTGGGAATACATATTCTGCGTCTACCTTTCACTGCATGCACTCTCTTCTGCTAAGGTATTACCCAATGTAGATATAGGATCCCGAGGAGCATTTTTCAGTGAGTTACAGTTTTCGCCGACTATCATGACTTTAGGAATATTCTGCCTAAACGAATCATCCACGATTAATCTCTGTCTCTTGATTCCTCTACTCCCTGCGGTAAAATGCTCATTTTTTTTCCGCATTATGTATTACACCTGTTTCCTATCAGCCCCTTATTCGAAAGATAATTGTATTCGCATAATCCACGTCTATGTCAATCAATCCTAACTGAAGGCATTTGTCCTCTCTTCAGCTTTGGTCTTCTAGAGACTACTGGCCTAGGTGGATCCACCAAGCCCTTTTCGCAATGGCACAGCATCACAGGATAGCTCACAAGCTTTTCTTAATCGTCTATTTCCACCCCTTTCCTATTACCAACATAAAGGCTTAACAAAGTCAAGCAAGCACAAGACACCTGAAAAAGATCAAAAGGGAAGCTCCCCGAGATTTTCCCTTACTGGCTAAGTCAACTATCTTGACATCCCGATAAATTAATTGAGAACGTTAAGCCTTAAATAATCATTTTTCACGCACCTAAATTAGCTACCCTGCGGAGCGATTGTCGAATGCTGCTAAACTGTAAGAACAATTTCAACAAATCTACGTCTATACTGTGTATAAAAAGAAGTATAAAGCATCTCCAAACTTCGTTGCCCGCACTATCACTTAATTAATACAGCACGAGGCTCGGATAACCAGCTAGTCAGGATCTAAACTCGTCTTTCAGCCCATTTCGCGCACCACAGAGCGCTCGAGTATCCAAGTAACATCCCAAGCATCCAAAATCCGTTCCTCGCCACAGAAGAACCTTAAGGTGGATTTGACTCACAGACCCTCCACAATAAACTGTCATTCGGCCACAAGCTACATCGCCCCATGCGGAAAGTCATATACCCACGCCTCTATACAAAGTGACACAAGGGTGACAGCACTAAAGAGGAGTGAGGCACAAAAATCTACGCAAAAGATACGACTTCTGTTTCGTTGACCTCAAAGATGGTTTCCGCAATCTGGGCGGTTTATAGGATTTTTCACTTCCTTGGTCCTCTATCTCTTTTCAAAATACCTTGACACGATCCTTTTTCTTTTCGCGAGAAGCCCGAGGCGCCGCAGAGCACACAGAGGGGAAGACATAGAGTCGTCTTTCACGAGACCACACTCAGGAATATTCGGACTGTGGACTCCTTGGCTGAGGTCGTCATCTTGGTGTCCAATGCTTTCAGGTTCCCGCCTTTTTCAATCCAGTCATATTAGGGGTTTCTCTACTGATAAAAATATTAGGGCGATCACATCTCCTTGCGTTAAATGTTGAAGTATAATCATTCAGAGGCGGAGGGTAATTTATGGGAGCCTTTTTGGTATACATATATCGTAAGTAAGTTGTGATAAATGCGAGAATTAGGGGAGAGATTTCTGGAATACAGTTTACGATTTCTTCCTCTAACTAAATAAAACTAAATCACTATCTATGTCTATCTGTTCTCAGTGTCAAGTCTCTTAATAATTTAGAGTAATGGAAGAAAAGGACACTGAGGTTGCATGCAAATGAATCACAGTGAGTCTGGAGGAAATTACAAATAGGATGTTCACTTCTTGTCATAAAAATCCAAAGTTAATTTGTATCGAAAACTCCTCAGGCTTTCCCTCTCGTAATGCTTACTCTTGTTGAAACACAAGTGTATAAGCCAAAACATAAGAATCGGCTCAGGAGTTAATGACATCAATGTCTCCTCTACTTGAATCAGTGATTTGTGAGGAACGAATAATCGTCTGCAATTCATAAGCTTTCTGTGCCTTTGCTGAAGTTGATAAGGGCCACTAACTTTGCAATCACAAAAGATCTTAACTTTTCCGTCGCAAAAGGACAGTCACCAAAATCGGTCACAGATGAAGCTCAGAACAGTAAAACTATCCATAGAAGAATTAGAGCTGGGCTAGCATTTGCGCGCGCGAGCACCCATGGGTCTGAAAATGCTGGACAAAAAATGCGAAGATGATAGAGAAATTTACCACAAAAAATATGAACAAGTGCAAAGCTACTATCAACAAAAACTACTGGGAAATGAGCAGTAGAATGGACAGAGGATTACTGGTCCACACACTCATGGACCTTAAGCTTTTTATAACATGTCTAAATGGTAAATTTCTACATGCCATATATGTACCACATTTCCAAGGGAAACAACAACTAAACACAGCAAGACCTATCCGTACTAAGATTTTGCTGACGCCCTGAAGAACCCTCAAAAAAAATCTGGATGGTTAGGCTAGAAATCAATGAGTCTTTTTCAAACGGAACTTCTTATAAGTAAGATCAAAATTGTAGACAAACTCCAGTGAATGTAATCGTTCATCAAAACTTGTCGTCAACTTAATCTATATAAAATCAGGTTATCACCAGAGTAAACTATGTCATGAACAAAAAAATATGTGAGAATAGTGCAGGGAACAAGAAAAGAAATGTGTGCTTCACTATTTCGATGTACAATTATGGCACTGAAATAAGAATTATAAAGCCTGAAAATAGATAGCGACACAACAAAAGGACAGATCAACACCTCAAACTTAAAAAATGGGATAGAAATTGGGTAAATACACCCTTGCTTAACCAGAATGAAAAGGCAGAAAATAATGCGCAGATGAAATAAGAGAGCTCCAGAACAGATCTGCATACATATAAAGCTTGAAGTATATTAGTCAA